TTCAGTAAATTGAGTTAAAATACATTTTAACGGATGACTGGCTCTGTAAGCTTGGCTACTGAATACTTCGGACATAAATTTGCAGGTATTAACAATATAAAGCAAACGACTCTTTTGGTGCCACTGCGGTATCGGTCGTGTGGTATCGTATCGGTATCAATATTTTACTTCTTCTTTTTTCCTTCTTCCTGGAAGGCTGCGTGGTCTCGAGGTACTGTGTCCACCTCCAGTGCTAGAGGTCCCGAGTTTGTGCCCCGGCGAAGGCTAGGATTTTTTTCACGGGGAAGGACTTCTAGCAATGTCCCCTGGTCTCTTGGTAGTGAGATCGGACGCCCGTGGGTATTATTGCGCATGTAAAAAAAAAAAACTTGGAGTTGGAAATCGAAAAGAGAAGCCTAACGGCGCTGCCCGGGCGAAATTTGGAGTTAAAAATATATCCAAAATAATTCAGGATCTTTGCCGGTGCTACAGAGCACGTGCACGGCGCTGAGCTACTTTAGACTCAGACTTGAGTTTGAAGTAGAACGAGGCACTTATGAGTTTCTACCCTTTTGCCATTATGTTGATTCGTTGTTCAAACCTCAAACCTCCTTCTTCCTGTCAGCGGTTTTCAAACCAGATGGCCACGGGTCTCACCCACTGTTCCATAAAGCTTGGCTTCCATTGGAATGCTAACCGAGCAAACATGGAATCTCTCTACTGCATGCACAGAGCACGCCTGTAGCACTTGTTCATTCAGTATTCTGTGGTATCAATATGACAAGCGTTTTACAATAACATACACTGAAATCTTCAAAAGCGACCCAGATGCGATCTTCACAAGTTAATGTACGAGACTCGGATTGCTCCCCTCCAGGAATGATGTATGTATGTTTAACTTCTTCTTCCTCTTCTTTTTCTTCTTCTTATTCGTCTTCTTTTTCTTCTTCTGTCGTCTCACTGATACCAGGTTGTAGCCCAGTATAGTGGTTTTCTAAATTTGACTTGCGCGTCTCAGTAGCTCGGGTGATAGATTTGTTCAACCTTTTGTAGGTTTTAGCTTCATCATTAAAATTAATCCACTTTTTTCTTGGTCTTCCTTTTGCTTTCTTCCCAGGTGTTCTGCCGTGGAAAACAAAATCTCACATGCAGTTTGGTCTGGCTGCATTCTCCCTAGATGGCAGAGAATTCATGCCTTGACTTCTTCCAGCTTTCTCTCTAATGTTGGTATTCGTAACCCTGTCCTTTTTTGTGTTGCTAGTGACCTTGCTCATTTCGCGGGTAGTTATGTTCTGTTATAGTGCCCCATTCACTGTCCATATAACATCTAAGTGATGAGAATAAGCAGGAGTAAATTACAGAAACCAGGTGCAGCAGTATAACACAGTAATATTGGGGTAAACCTGAACCCATGACATTCAGATCCACAGGCAAGCGTTTAGCCACTACATCACAGCGGCTCTTTTTTTTTTAAGCGGATGACTAGCACTTTAATAAGGCTACTGAATCCTGGGAAATTGAATGTCCTGGTAATGATTTAAGCCGTGGTTTCAAGCGGTGGCCGGTTCAGAGAAAAAAGACCGTTCTTGTGTCATTCAGAAAACAGTGACGCCGGGGAAGAAATGTGGGAACTCGTAATGTAATATTCCCACAGTTGAATAGTGGAAACATTACAGCCGACCTCCAGTGTGGGCACGGCACTGTGTTTTTAGGGTAACTCCCTATTTTCGATACCCGAATCGTCATTCCATCGGGCTCGCAGCGCTCGCTCCCCACCCTAAATCCTGTGCAATCTTGTCTATACCTTGAATGGAATTCAGACCATCATCTTTGGTCTGTCTGACTTCCTCTTCAGCGAATTTCTGTATAATTTTTTCCCCAAGAAAAAGGGGGTTCACACCAAGCCAAACCCTCATTCTTTCTCACCTAACCCTGGGACCGACAATGGCAGAGATAGTTATAATGGACATGCAATATTTACTGAAATGAAAAACGGCGCACGGGAAGATTTCTTGTTTTTCTTCTCCTTGATGTTCACCAGCTGAAAACTCTGGCGGAAAGTTCTGGATATTCGACCACTTCTAGACCTTAGTCCTGTTCCAAAACCTAAGTGTTGCGTGCACATCCGTTTTACAGATCTGACTCATGCGTATGCCCACTGTTGCTACGTCGCCTTTCAGACAGATGCACTCCGACTTCGAAGGTAGCTTCAAATCAGTCGACTCCCACGAGACGCTTTTGGGTAGGCAGTGGGTCTATTCTTGTTCCCCCCCCCCCCCCTCCTTTTTACAACGAGACATCGGAACCCACACGGGGAACAGCAAGAGTTAAAATCATGGCCCAGAATATGCTCCATTTCTAATACAGCCGGTGACCTTTTTAACGAATGTCTGGCACGTTTCTCAACCCTTATCCACTCCCCCCTTCTCATCGCTTTAGGTGCATTCAAGCGCATCTGCACCCTTTAGCCAACAGGTCGCGCCCGTGTGTCGCGCAAACACAATGTGCCCAGCCAACCGGTCCAGTCCATGTTTGTGTGTGTGTGTGTGATAAACTAGATCTAACAGAACGAACCGGTGTGTTTGTGTATTTTGTTATTTCACTGGAAGAATAGAGGAACGAGATTCTGTTTTAATATCCTACCCCCAGATGACGTCACAGGACAGTCCAACTTTTTAGAGGGTGTTAAGACTGTATTTTTCGGCTTTCTGGTGCTTTTAACGACCCCAAAACATCTAGAACTGGCCCTAATCTCAACCCACCTACGTCCCATGAGAGAGCGTGCAGCCTAGGTCCCACGACTGTCCTGTGACCTGTGGATTTCCCCTATTTGGGGTAGGATAATAATAAAGCATCAGGAACAAAGACAGAAGTAGTGCATACACTGGGTTCGCCGACAATGTGGAATAAATGAAGAACTGCACTCGGGGCATTCCTATACCTGCCCCCCCCCCCTTATAGTTGTTATTCCCCCCCCCCCTCCTTCGTGTAAAAATTCGCCTCACTCATAGCTCAATCATTCTCGCCATTTATGGATACTGTGCCTGTTCTGTTGCGCTGTTTACCCGATCTCAGATAGCCTTTATGGCATCCACTTTCTTACAAAGCAGCTCAACGCTTAGAGGGGCGTCAGCAGCCAGTCTACCAGTCCGCACATCCGAATAACCTTGGGGCGGAAGGGGCGGAAAACACAAAATGCTTCTGGCCTGAGTCTGACAAAGCGATGCAAGACGCCCTGAGCGCAAGACAGCGGTTTCTATTTTCAGAAGCACGCCCTTAGAGTCCTTAACAATTACAACATGTCGAGCTACAATAGGCGCGTCCTTAGACTTCGAAGTGAGAGAATCCCCACCCAGTCGATGAGCTCATCTTTACCTGTTGGCATCAGCGTAGCTACCTTTCGGCGTGTGCACCTTACCATTCGACATGCTTGTCCTTATCCTTCGACATTCGCATGACCTCAGCGTCCCTACCCTTCGACTTGCCTATCTTTAACCATCTATGGGAATGCCCCGAGTGCTGCGATGTCTTTCTTGACACAGCTCAACTCAACTCGGTTGAACATAAATGACAACAAATAAATTTACTACACCTATCAATGTATTATGAAGACACACATGTGACACGCACACAAAAAGAACAGGAAATTCTGATTTTTACTAGAAAATGACTTATTTACAATGTTTGAAGAAAGATTAAATGAATTGGCTGGTATTCAGCATCCTGAGCATTAATGGACAAAAGAATACCATTATTTGTGCGTCATAGATATTCTAAGGCTGCGTGCAGCGTTGCGATCTAACAGGCAGTTTCCGAGAAAGTGACTTTCAAGTGTGTTCATGAGATGTTGAACGAACTACAGGCATTAACCCCGTTATGAATCCTTTGCCGAGGCACGAGCTGCCAATAACTCCCCAACAATTCTTCCCAAACAAAACTTCAGTACTCTTATCAACTAATTATGATCGCAATGGCCTCCTTGAGTCTCATCCAGCTACAGACTGGCGCGCCTTCTGAGCAGCAAACCGAGACACTATATAAACTAATCCAGCCCACATTCAAGCGATCACACCACATCACTTCAACCCTCGTAGATAACTGGAAATACATACAATTCAACAAAACACTAGACATGATGGATAACACGCGGACATACTCATCTCTATGTTCATTTTGATGGCCCTTGTTGGTGTAAAGCATGTATTCAAGGTGGATCGTAGTTAACTGTAGGATAATTAATCGTGCTTCGTCAAGCGCTTGTCGAGGCGCTGCTGGGACCATCGACCATCGAGTGTTGACTGGTCTCTAAAAATACATGTCTTGCCCTGTATGTCAGATTCGCCAAAGGTCACGTGGTCGTCAGATATGAGTGAGCTAACGTATAACAACAGTAGTCGGTACTGCCTGGTCAGATGTGACTGAGCTGCCTATTACAGTAGCTGGTACTACCTATTCCCTGTTCTTCTCTTCTTTTGTCTACTCCTGGAATGCCTCGCGGCTTCAGAGAAAGAGATCTATGGAACGGGCCCTTCTGCTCGCTTCGCATAAAGTACTGTTTAGTGTCTCTTATATTTCTACGGTCCATATTCTGCGTGGTCGACCTCTGGCTCTGTTACTGCTGTTTCTGTATAACACTGCTCTCTGTGGTGCCATGTCTGATGCCAATCTTATTATACGGCCGAACCATTTGATTTGTTATCTACCTCTTTGTTGTCTTAGTCAAATATGAATGGGCTACAGTATAACAGTAGGTGGTACTACCAGTTCTCGTCTAACCTGATCAGATATAACTGACTTACTGCATAACAGCAGTCGGTACTACTTGTTCTCTGTAAACGCGACCCCTGTGAAATAGTCGTTCCCCCCCCCCCCCTCCCCCCCCCCCAAAGGGGTCGCGATGGACAGGTTGAGCCCCGCTGTACTGGACAGAGAATACCCAAGAAGGCAGATGGTAATTCTGCCACTTTCAACATCCAACCGCAACGTCCACCTCCCTGACTCCAACAAACCCCAGAACTCACCTCAAAATTCTTAATTGCGTTTTCGGCAGAGGCATCACCATCGACGGCCAGGGCGAAGAGATCGGTGACCTTGTGAACCATAAGATCAAACGGTCCCTGGCTCTCCACCGACCGGCTGAGATCAATCTGTCAGAAAGAGACAGAAAACAAAAATGGTGGTGTCAATCAAGGATTCAGTCAGATACCCATAATTACGAAAACCCTCTAGCGAAATCGTACTTTGTGGTAGCTAACAAGCATTTAACATTTTATTGTTGTTGTTGTTTGTTTAGTCTGCCCTCTACGGCTTTGCTTTTGCAAATTGTGGAAACCCCGTTCGACCGCACAGCAGAGTTATACTGGGGCACCACAAAACGGTTAGAAAGTAATTTGTAGTCCTCTATGGGGGAGTTGTGATCCTAAACATTTCTTTTGCTGCCATTCCATTCCTTTTCACACACAAAGCAAAAGCTCGACCACGTTCATCCTGCTGTTAGCCAGCCGAGGCTACTAACAGTCTCCGGTTATATTTGTGGTCTGGTTTATTTGCGCCACTTTCGTGGCTAAATTTATGGTATTTGCGCCAGCTCTCTGTTGTGGGTCTTCTTGCCTCAAAGTCAGACAGCTCGATCCCTCCCTTTGTCCGAGTGTTTTTTTCTTTTGTCCCTTTGCTGGCCGCTCTTATTTATAGCACTTTTTAGGGCTGAGTTTGGCAGTGGGGGAGGGAGGTGGTGTTAATCTTAAGGATTTACGGCCACATGGCTAGTGCTGTCGCCACGATGAGTACAATTTAGGAATTTATTTCTGCCGGGACTGAAACAAAACAAAAAAATCCCACCACCTTATCTACCGAGAGTTCGAACCCGGATATCCTGAAAGACAGCCCAGCGCACTTCACGCCCAGCCAGACGCTCCTGATGCGTACTAACCAGGAAGACGCTCTAGCACAGTGGTTTTCAACTAGGGCGCTCCCTGCGAAAGGTGCAAAGAAGTTTCAAGAGGGGTGTCACGCAATTTTGTAAATGAGTTCTTTTGTACTTGTAATAATCTGTTGTAATTTTTCTTTCTTCCAGAATCTCTTTATGCCTTTCTAAACATCAGACCCACAATAGCAGATATCATCAAGACAAAACAGTGTCAACCATCACACTGGAAAACAGTGTCAACCATCACACTGGAAAACAGTGTCAACCATCACACTGGAAAACAGTGTCAACCATCACACTGGAAAACAGTGTCAACCACCACACTGGAAAACAGTGTCAACCATCACACTGGAAAACAGTGTCAACCATCACACTGGAAAACAGTGTCAACCATCACACTGGAAAACAGTGTCAACCATCACACTGGAAAACAGTGTCAAAAATCACACTGGAAAACAGTGTCAACCATCACACTGGACACTAAAGTACCATTTTCTGATGATCGCTTCTTTGATTTTATTTGACAACTGGCTTGTTAACTGGCTTGGGGGGGGGGGGGGGAGGGGGGGGCGGTGTCTTAACAGATATTTTTTTTTTAAAGGCGCGCCGCCACCTGAAAAGGGTTGGAAACCACTGGTTTATTATAACTGCAAACTTCCAACAAATACTGGGACTGGTTCCGTGCAAAAGATCTGCAACAAATTTTTTTTTTATAATCAAATTTAAACCTAGCACACACGACTGCGCCTTTGGCTTAGCAGATGTAACCGCAGTAACCCCCTCTGGTTTTGAAAACTGATTATTAATACTGCGGACAGACAAGAAAACAAGGACTAATGACCCAGCCTCGTAGTGGGGGGAAAAAAACACTCTCTTGTTACAGACCAGGAAAAAGTGGCCGTAAGCAAACTTGTGACTTCTCATACTAATATCGCTACATAACGAATGAATGAACATCCTAGCACACCATGGACTTCACGTTACTTTGTAACCGTTGTGTGGTGCCCCAATATAACTGTACTATATTGCTCCAGCATTGTTTCCGGGATTTGTGCATGTTTGATTCTCAGGTCAAAAAAAAAGGGAAGTAAAGGACCCTTTTCAGCGCCTGTCAGGCGTATTGGGTATATAGGGCTAGACCTATATTTTACAGACCAACGGCACAAGATCGGTGTGTGGTCAGCATCACGCCGGCCGCCTTTACTTCCCAGGATTGCACCTGATACCCACTCAAGGCTGGGTCGACCTGGGAGCCAAGGTCTTTTTTTTTCAAGTCCGGCTCCGCCAGGGAGCAAACCCGCGACCTTCCGATCCGCAGGCGAGCATCTAGCCGCTACGCCACGGCAACTCCCTTGATTCTCAGGTACTTTCCCAATATCTCTTCCCCCCCCCCCCCCAGATGACGTCACGGGACAGTCCAATATTGTCTAGGGTGGTAAGAGCGGGTGTTCACAAAAAAAACCTGCATTTTCTGGATTGCACAACCACACAGAAAAAAATGCACACCCAAAAAAAAAAAACAGTGCAAGAAGCACACTCTGCACAGCACAAAACTGCACAGTAAATAAAATGCCAAATTACTAACTAGACGATTCATCTACCACCCCCTGAAATATTAGACTGTCCTGTGAAACTCCCGTGTTTGGGGGGAGGGGGAGATATAGGCAAAGTATTGATTCTCATCCTTGGGATGTCAGTCCTACAGACTGTGCAATCCTGGACAGGAAAACATTTTAAGAAGTACTTATTGAGAGACCCAGCACTTGACATTCCTGCCTACTTATTAGTAAGTATCTGGCGATGAGACAACTCGTTAGCAGCAGCAGCAGGTGCTTGCCCTGCTAAGTGCATCGAGGAGCACTTTTTGCATAGTGCGTTTCAAATGTTGTGCCCTTACACATTAACAAATATCTCGAAAACTCATTTAGGAATCAACACGAATTTTTTTCATGTGACCTTAGATCTCCCATGTCCTTACGATTTCATAATTTACAATTGTACATGTATTGCTGTTTTTTTTTTAAGAGCGGCGGATTTCTTTCATCTTTGTTTGACTAATAATGTGTGTACTAAAAAAAAAAAAAATAGAATATAGAGTAACTGACACGTGCGTGAAGATTATTTGGAAATCAATTCATATGTGCAGCAATGCGTGGTGATTATTTTGATAGCCTGAACAATTATTTTCACGTAACTCACGGGAGGTTAATGTTGGAGATGACCACCTGAAAGTGAAATGACCATGAACCCCACATCTACCGTAAATATGATAAAAAGAAAAAACTAGATATATGTTTAAAAGAAAAGAAAAGTTAAAACAAAAACTTGTAGAAGGACATGATTATTAAGTGGTTGCATGCCAAATCTCAACAACTTACACCGAGCGTTTACTGAGGTACATAATTTTAAAACTGTGCACGACTTGTGAAACAGACTACATTAAGACAACAGATACATTTACAGGTACTGAGAGGTTTTCACAGAAACAGAGAGAGAAAAAAACCACATGAACATGTACAACGGGAAAATGGAAACACGATCAGACAGAGGAACACCCATAAGAAAATCAATTAACGGAGTCGCTAAAAGCATGGGATTTCACACATTAACAGCATACCAAGCAATCGAGCGCGCCCTAGCTCGACTACCTATTAGCTGGTAAACTGCGTAGCCTAGCAGTACAAATCAGATACGGCGAAGAAGAGGTGGCATACACACACTTTCAAGGAGCACAAGGAAGAAGATAAAGTAGGAAAGCATGGCGGACACAACAATCCAAAGATACCGTTTCGAAAAAAAAAAAAGATATTTAGCTCTTCCAATAACCTACATTTCCGTGTACGCCAGTTTTCTATGGTAGTCACCCCAAAAAAAATGTCGATCAAGCATACAGCAGCTAGAGCAGAAGCTAAAGGAGAAATCAAATTATGTTACTGCAGTGCTTCGTCTCTCAGAAAAAAAAAAAAAAAAACCGCTTAAGCCAGTAAATTATGTTTTTTTTTTTACCGCTAGACAGCAGATATCACATTAACTTAAATTTGCAACAGCATAATGTTGAATTTAATAAAATAAAATGCTATCTTCATGTGTATTTTTTTTTTCTGTCCTAGCCGTCAACGGGTCTGCGAAAAAAAATCTCCTTACTTCGGAGTCAGTAGGTGTACAACTTTTGAAGAACACTGCTTTACAGCACTTTAACGCCTTTTTAGCACGGCAGCTGACATAATGTTGAATATTATTTTTACATTACGATTCCATCGACCTGGTGACTTTGTAACTGGACAGGTGTGTTAAAATGTTATTGCTTTATTTGTCCTTTTCTTGGGTCGCTGACCGGTAAGTGTTAAACTTGATAGGTAAATTGCTGGCACTGAGCGCAAAGATACAGTCGGAAAAGTGCACTAGATATAGGCGCAAAATAACCTCACAGAAACTAAATTTCTTTCTTTCTCTCTCTCTCTCTCTCTCTCTCTCTCTCTCTCTCTCTCTCTCTCTCTCTCTCTCTCTCTCTCTCTCTCTCTCTCATACACACACAAACACACAATGTATTGCTGTTTTCTTGTCAGGTAACATCTTGTCGGATAGGCGAACGCCGATGTCGTCACAGACCAGCAGAATTCAGCAGTCAAAAATGTATCCATGCCACACAAGTGCACTGAGTCACAGCTGAGTCAGTCTGCGTGGGTGGGGAGAATGAGGCAGGGTGTTTGTAATGTATTTGAGTGGGTGGGTATCCGGTAGATATGTCTATATTAAATTTTAAGTGAGTGGAATTGGCGTGGCTATTTCTGCACTGAATTCTGAGTGGGTGTGTACAGATTAGTAAGGTCTGTGCTCCGGTTTGACAGTGGGTTTGATAGGTATGTCTGTTTTCGATATGAGTGAGTACAGCGTCTACATTCAATCATGAACGAGTGAGTATTGGGTAGGCATGACTATTCATTTATGATATGCGACTGAGTGTACGCATGTTTGTATTGATTTTTGAGTGAATGGATACAGGATAGTCATATGGATATTCCATTTTGTGTGAGTGGGTATAGAATATTGATGTTTGTACTCAGATGTAATTTTAGTTTGGGTTGCAGGGCCTCAAAAAGAATAGATCCACTGCCCCCTTTGCCCCCCTCCCCTCCCCAACCCAATGTCAAACAGGAGGCGCCTAATTGGGGATTTGCTGAAAGGCGTAAATATCGCAGTCTTGCTGCCAACCGTCCTTTT